GTCAGTTCCCTAAGTCACAGTGAGTGCTCAAGCTAGGGTTACTGAATGAGAAAGGATGTATTGTAAGTATCTAACACAAATAAATGCTTAATTATCAGGAACTACATGTACTGAGAATGGGGTTCTTTTTTCCCCAAGACACTGCCATTTCCCAACACAGATGTCAGTCTTTGGTCATGCATGTGGCCTGTGTTGGGCAGTGTTGTGGAGAAGGTGAAGAAAGAAATGTCAGACAGGAGCAAGTGAAGCCAAAAAGACAAAAGGTTGTATATTCAAGTACATAATGAGGGGGGTGAGAAGTGGTTTGGCCCTCAGGACTGGATGTCAAACCCTGCTGGGCTTGGTCCAAGTGGGCAGGGAAGTGATGGAAATACCACCTGGATGGTTCTGGTACCAATGGACCTTGATCTACAGATCAAGCACCTTGGTCTTCCTTTCATCTTGCTGCTCAGTTCCTTGTGCACAATAAATCCATGTAGAGCAAGAGCCAAGGTAAAAGGAGAACCTGAGGAACCAGATTTATCTGGTCCTAAGTAGCAGTGTGAGACACAGGCATTGCTGCTGAAGGCAGCAGGTGGGGGAGCAGAGCCATTCCCAGGGCAGCTCTGGCACAGTGAGGGCAGGGAGCTGTGCCAGGCAGCCCAGTCACAGTGCCAGGGCTGCCATGGCAGGTGAGGGGAGGGAGCTGTGCCAGGCTGCCCAGTCACACTGCCAGGGCTGCCATGGCAGGTGAGGGCAGGGAGCTGTGCCAGGCTGCCCAGTCACACTGCCAGGGCTGCCATGGCAGGTGAGGGGAGGGAGCTGTGCCAGGCTGCCCAGTCACACTGCCAGGGCTGCCATGGCAGGGGAGGGAGCTGTGCCAGGCTGCCCAGTCACACTGCCAGGGCTGCCATGGCAGGTGAGGGGAGGGAGCTGTGCCAGGGCTGCCATGGCAGGTGAGGGGAGGGAGCTGTGCCAGGCTGCCCAGTCACACTGCCAGGGCTGCCATGGCAGGTGAGGGCAGGGAGCTGTGCCAGGCTGCCCAGTCACAGTGCCCAGGGCTGCCATGGCAGGGGAGGGGAGGGAGCTGTGCCAGGGCTGCCATGGCAGGGGAGGTGAGGGAGCTGTGCCAGGCTGCCCAGTCACAGTGCCAGGGCTGCCATGGCAGGTGAGGGCAGGGAGCTGTGCCAGGCTGCCCAGTCACACTGCCAGGGCTGCCATGGCAGGTGAGGGCAGGGAGCTGTGCCAGGCTGCCCAGTCACAGAGGCCAGGGCTGCCATGGCAGGGGAGGGCAGGAGCTGTGCCAGGCTGCCCAGTCACACTGCCAGGGCTGCCATGGCAGGTGAGGGCAGGGAGCTGTGCCAGGCTGCCCAGTCACACTGCCAGGGCTGCCATGGCAGGGGAGGGCAGGAGCTGTGCCAGGCTGCCCAGTCACAGTGCCAGGGCTGCCATGGCAGGGCAGGGAGCTGTGCCAGGCTGCCCAGTCACAGGGGCCAGGGCTGCCATGGCAGGGGAGGGCAGGGAGCTGTGCCAGGCTGCCCAGTCACAGAGGCCAGGGCTGCCATGGCAGGGGAGGGCAGGGAGCTGTGCCAGGCTGCCCAGTCACACTGCCAGGGCTGCCATGGCAGGTGAGGGCAGGGAGCTGTGCCAGGCTGCCCAGTCACAGGGGCCAGGGCTGCCATGGCAGGTGAGGGCAGGGAGCTGTGCCAGGCTGCCCAGTCACAGTGCCAGGGCTGCCATGGCAGGTGAGGGAGCTGTGCCAGGCTGCCCAGTCACACTGCCAGGGCTGCCATGGCAGGTGAGGGAGCAGCTGGGAGTGGGAGAGGTGGCAAGAGCCACATGAAAATGAAAAAAGGGAGCAGCAGCATGAGGTGAGAGTGTTGACAGCAGCCTGCTGCAGCTGACTCCATTGCTGAGCTCCTGTGAGTGTCCCTTGGTTCTCCTCACCCCACATCCCTGTGGCTCAGCTCTAATCCAGCATTGATTTCTGGACCAGCCTGACTTCTTTCCTAGCAGAAGCAAACTGTTAGCCTCAAATGTCTTTGTGGCAACAAGTGCAGTGTTTTGGCACCTGAATCTTGTTCACTGTAAGCACAGACAAGGTGGTCACATCTTGGTGTGTGTGACTCGTGTATGTGAATGCACAGACTCCTGAAATGGTGTGGATTCTGTTCTACAGGCCAATAATTCATCTATCAATTATGATGGATGTTTGAATCTCTTTTCCTTCCACACTATTTTTTTTGTAGATAATTCTTTATTAACAGCTACTCTTGAATAAAGGTTCATATTCCCTTGGCACATGAAGTTGCTTCTCCAGTGTATAATTACTGAAGGTGCTAAATTGAATGAAAATGAAGAATTATCCAATTGTTTTACAAAAAGAAAGCACATTGGTGTGGTGGCAGCCCTTTGTAGTGTAGATCATGAAAACTCTTACATAAGTACAAGTGAAAACACTTTGAGGAGGGGACAAGTAAGGTAGGAAGAAAGGATTATCCTCACATTTTGCATGCTAGATCAGGTAGGTAGTTTATGTCATATATATCTGGTCAATCCTGCCAGGATTTCAGTAAAAACTTTACTCTTACTTGAAACCAGTCACGGGCCCCTGAAATGTCTGTAAATTTTATGGAGCTGAGCAGACCTCACTGCTTATAAAACAGAGATTGGAATTGGTCTCTTTGCTCTTGTGATCATCAGCATTTTCAGGCATATTTTGCTTTGGGGACTTCATTTTTCCATTTAGCCACAGATCCCAGGGCTCAGGAATTCCTGGCTGTCTGAATTCCAGAGCTGTCAGTGTGTGAGTGAAGGTGACACTCCTGTGTGTTCCCTCTGAGGAGGCTGTGCATCTCCCATACAAGTATCAGTTTCAGGAGGAACAGGGGCAGCTGTCAGCCACGATTTTGTGGTGTCTTAAGAAATCGGTAGCGTCACTGTGCCCACACAGATTAGTAAATTTGACAAGTTGAGAAGAGTACTTAGAGCTGGCCTTTGTTTTTAATTTTAAAAATGGTTTGTTTGGCACTATTAGCGAGCACAGATCTTGGCAGATCTCAGGGAGTCTTTGGTGGTGTTTTCCCAAGACATGCCCACTCTAGAGCACGGTTAATCCTGGAGCTGGGGAGGATCTGAGCTGCTGGAGAGCAGATGCAGGGGACCTGCTGCCTCTTGAGGGGGAACACGTGGTTTGAGAGGCTCTGGGGCCTGTGAGCACTCTCTGCACTGTTCTCTGACACTGTAGCCTGCAGGTGGGTACAGACTTTGGAATGACAGCCTGTGGAACATCTTCTTCCACTGGAATGGCCCTTATTGTCCATCAGGCTTCTCTTGGAGCAGGTGCAAATGTCCACATTGACCATGGGGCACAGTAGAGCCCTGCCAGCCTTTCACACTCTCTGGGCACTACCCCTCACTACACCTGGACATGGATTTTTGACTTCATGTGAAGCCTGGACAGAGCATCAGCTGCAGGTTCAAAAGGCTCAGCTCTTTCTTCAGGACTCCTACAGTGTCTCCTCCTGGCCAGCTCCAGTATCCAGAGACTGTGAGGAGACAAATGAAAGGAAACCTGACTTGTGTCAGCCTGAACAGCCCTGACAGTCACTTCTTGAGCAGAGTGGCCAGAGACTGATTTATTTCCTAGTGGTGCTGGAGGAAGTTGTATCTCAAGCAGAAAAATGAGACAAGGGTGACACCCTGTACCAGTACTAACTCAGTTCTGGTTGCAAGCAGAGCAGGGGGAGAGGCCCTTGGCAATGTGAGCATTTTCCAGGATGGATTTCAGATTCAAAAGCTGACTGTGCATGGCCTCAGCTTGGGAGGGCTCCTCTCAGAAGGGCACAGGAGCACTTCATGGGCAGCAGAATGTGACAGCAGTGAAAGGTCTGTGTTACACACATACACACAAAGTCTGTGTTACACACATTCTTGTCCAGAGGTCGTTCTCCTCTTCCTCCTTCACTTCATGGCTGGTTGCAAGGTAGCTAAGCCTTCAAATTGTGGATGAGTTCTTCCAGGTCATGACTTGGTAGCTGAAGAAGTTATGTTCCATAAATATCTACTGAAGCAAAGGCTTGGGTTTGCTTTCTGCCTCTGTTTTAAGTGCTTCTGTCTGTGCTGGACACTAATGATTTCATTTTTTGGGTAGCAGTCACATAAATAATGCCTTCCCTGCTGAGCCTTTTTGCCAGTCCCTGAGCTGCTTCCCATCTGAAGGGAAGTGTAAGAGGTAATTAACAGCCACTTGAAAAAGGATTAGCAGGTGGGTGGGAGCTACTGTTGGGTTCATGCATGGAAATGCTGAGATTTCCTGGCACTCCATCCAGTGTGTGGGCTCCAAAGATAGTTGCACTCATGGGCCTCTCTCCTTTGGATCTTCCTACCCTGCAAAGGGAGCGGCTGTGTTTTCTTCCAGGACAGCTCCCACGGGCCGAGCCCTGGCCATCTGTGAGACCGGGGCGTGCCGGGAGCGGGGTGCTGGGCTGCAGCTGCCAGCTGAAGCCTTGCTGCATCTCTTTCATGTCAAACCACCTGGCAGAAAATCAGGAGGAAAAAAAGCCAAACAAATCTTGTTGGTTTGCCCCTTTGCCAATGTTCTGAAAGAACTTAATGCACCAAACACTCAGAGTTTGGCACTTGGAGAAGGTGGTGCTGGTCCTTGTCCTGCAGACTGTCACCAGCTCTGTAGCCCTCGTGTGGCTGAGCAAGGCTGCAGCTGAACCAGGGCTGTCTTGCATGGCAGTTTTTTCAGGCTGTGCAATGAGACCTGTATTTGCTGCTAGAGTTGTTGGGTGGCCACACATGTTTAAAATATTGGGCCTCTCTGTGAGAAATATCTCTCATTTCACTGCCTGCTCTGGAGGTTTAGAAGGTGGTGATGGGCACACGTTCATCTGAAACGGTTCCTGCGGGGACCTCCTGTGTCTGTCTCCCCTACACAGCAGTAGCAAAGAGCCTCCTGGATTTGCCAGTGTCTGTGTGGCTTTGCTTTAAGGAAAACATGCCTTTTGTTTCAGATCACCTGCTAGCAGACTCCTACATCGGGCAGGAGGACTCCCCTGAGATGCAGCAGGTGGCCCAGAACAAGCGCAGGCTCTCGGTCATCTCGGACGGCAAATTCGAGAGGAGCTTCACCGAGGAGCAGGCGGAGAAGCTGCCGAGCGAGGGCCCCAAGCCACGAGTCTACACCATCTCTGGGGAGAGGCCAATGCTGTCAGAGCACGAGAACGACAGCATGGAGCTGGTGGTGATGAAGGGAGCTGCCCACGAGGAGTGTCACCATGGGCACCACGCGCACGGCGCCGCCGGCTCGCACGGCGTCCGGCACTGCAAGGCCTGGCCCGGCGGCCGCCAGGGCTCCAAGGAGTGCCCCAACTGCTCCAGGCTGGCTGCCCCTTCCCAGCAGTCCATTGAGCTGGAGCAGCACCCACCTGGTGAGGCTGGGTGGCACAGGAAAAGGCTGGAGAGGATGTACAGTGTGGATCGAGTGTCTGGTAAGTGACTGCTGGGTTGTTGTTGTTGTATTGAGGATGGGTGAATAAAGTGATTTATAGACTCTAAGGTCTCAGAAGGTAAAATGCAAAGTTTACTAGAAACTACACTTTTTTTATAGACTGTCCTGGTTTAGGGCAAATTTGTGAGAAAACCTCCAAAGGGGGCCCCTCCAGAAAGCAAACCCACACAGCCCCTTGCCCCAACCAGTTCAGGAAGGATTCCTTGGAGAGAAGTGAAAAGAACCTGTTTATTTAACAGGCACAGCACCCCCAGCACACAAAATGAACAATACCGGGTGACACCACTCTGTCACCACTCTGAAAAAGATGACAAATTCAGAAAGTCTCTCTTGAGGGTGGTCACTCTCTTCTCAGTCCCTCCTGTGCTGGGGCAGCTGCTGCAGCCACAAGGGGCAAACTCTCGGTGTTTCCCAGGTCCCAGTCCAGAGCAGGTTCGAGTAGGTCCAAAAAAGGGAAAGGAGAAACAGTCCAGGAAGAAATTTGGACTGTTTATCTAAACTAACTAATGAGCAGAAGCAAGAGCGAGAGCAAAAGCAAAAAGCCAAGCAAAAAGCAAAAGCAGCACCATGCACTGCCCTGTCTGTGTGTCCCACCAGCCGTGGGGGAGCGGCTGAGAGCAAAACCAAAACAAAACTTTCACTCTTCAGAGCCAGTCTTGAAGGCACAGAACATGATATCCAGCATAAACAGAACACAGGAATGGGGATACAAGCATCATAACATCACCCTAGGACATTGACAGTTACAATAAAGGTGGACTTGATTGGTTTTTAATTAATATTATTCACACTATTGGTTAATTAGGAGCCACACCCTTCTTGTAAACATTTTACAATTAACAACGTTTGAAACACCAGCTGCAGGATTGTTTTAATTCTTTCTCTGAGCTTTCTCAAAATTGCCCAGAGGAATGTCTGGGAAAGTTTATCTGCCTGTCCCTCTGACCAGACTGTCAGCCACCACACCAGGTGACACGAAAGGTGACACCCATCTCATCCCAGCACAGGGGTTTTGATCCAGGGCCCTTCTGGTACTGTGAGGCAGCATTCCTGGAAAGGGATTGTCAAAGGAGGAGTTTGCAATAAGCTGAGCTCAGTTGGAGGCCAGCTCATCCTAGCTCCTGGTCATCAGAGGCTGCTCTGGGTGGTTTTCATGGCTCCTTTTCTGTGGAGGAAGAGTAAAAGAGGAAGGACTATGTCAAAACCCTGCATCCATGCTCACCCCAGAGGCAGTTCAGAGCAGGATCCTCTCTCTGCCTCTTGCTGGGCAGGGGAAATCTTTATGAACTGCTTCTGTGAGAGCCTCAAGTTATGGTGTTCTGTACTTTGTGTTCCCAAAATTCTTGTTTGCAGGGCTGGATGCCACTCATGTAGTGCCACCTCATGGGCTTCCTACAAATATTAGCAAATAACATAGTGTTGGAGTCTTTCCCTCCTTTCTTCTTTGCTTAATGTTCTCTCAATTACAAGAGTGCTTGTAATTATTCCATTCCATCAAAAAAAAAGTCTCTACAAACTGAACCATTAATCAAATATATGTCACAGTCTGTGTGCTTTGAATTATAAGCTGATGTGCAGTCCATCTTTGCCTGTATGTGGCTGGCAAAGAGTCTGGCCTAATTTGTCTGATTTTTTCTGTAAACACATATCAAGGCATTTAGAGCAGAGAGTCTGGCCAGGAAAGGTCAGGGTTTTCTCCTTGAAAAGAAACTGTGTATAAGGACTGTGCAGATCAAACTGTCCAGCTTCCCTGGGTTCAGAGTTTTCTGATAAACACTGCAGTGATGTTTACCACAGGTCAAATCACCAAAGGTTTGGGTCCTGCACCATGTTTTCATGCCTAGACACCTGAAATTATGTGGCTACATGAATATATTACTTAAACTGAATAATAGTAATGAAAAAATAGCTGATTATGAAATGTGTGGGAAAACTGCAGCCCCCTGAAATCCTGTGCATGATTTTTAAGCATCGTTCCTCTGTTCCCTGGGACTTTTTGGGATTCACATCAGACACTGCATGTGCCCCATGTGAGCTCCTGTGAAGAAAATGAGCTTTATCCCAGTCCAAACCAGCACACCTGGACAAATCAGAATTGCACTGTGGGACTGAAGGAAGTTACTTGATACAGAAGCAAGGGAAAGCTCCACAGCATTAATGGAGGGGTTTAACTCCTCACAGCTGGAGCTGTGTTTGCTGGAAAACCTGTGCTGGCAATTCCTGCAGGGAAATGCTGTTACTGGGCCTTGGAATTCAGTATCTGTTTTCAGCCAGGCAGCCATTTTCATTGGGGCCAGTCATCAGTGTGGGGTGGAGACTGGTCTGTCTGAAAATGTGTCAGAATAGTCACTTAAATGAGAGCAAAATGGCCAGTGCAGGACCTGTGGATGCCCCCTTGGGCATTCCATGTTTCAGCAGCTCCCCTGGGTGCTCATCTCAAGCCTCTGGGTCCTGACATGTGTGGCTGCACAGGCAGGGCTGTGTCCCCAAGCCCAGTTTCCATCCCAGCACTGGCACCATGGAAGGAGAGTTCCCTCAGTTTGGTCTTATTTGCACTCTCTATCCAAGTGCTGCCACTCAGATAATCCCAGAACTGAACAGCAAAGTGCCACAGGTTACAGAATTCCCTGGCACATCCTCCCTGCCTGGCTAGCAGGGAAAGGGAGCAGTGGAGGCAGGAGAGGCTGATTTCCCCAGGGCTCACCTGACAGTGCTGCTTCTGTTTGCATCCACATGACAAGGTTGTGCTGCAAACCAGCCCTTATGGCAGCCAGGCCCCAGTGGCATCACTGAATATGGGTTTGGATGCTGAGTCTCTGATGCCTGGCACCGTCCAGGGGAGCACAAGCTGTCATCTCCTGGCTGCTCCCAGCATCTGATGCAGACACACAGACTGTGGACAGAGGTGCTGGGGTTTGGGTGCAGTGGGAAGTGGCTGGAGATGCTGGATGGTGGTGGTGTCCCTCCAGTCCCTCCAGCCTTACCAGGCCCCTGGCTCCTCCACTGTTTCCTCACAGTTGATGGTGAAACGAAAGGAGAACAAGCTGCTCTGCCTGGCCAGAAAGGATGTGCTGCCTGCTCCTGGCAGCAACAGCCATGCCCATGGTCTGAGTTTTCATTTGGTGAGTGAGCTCTGGAACTGAGCTGCACTGCCCAGTCCCCACCTGCAAGCTCCTCTGCTGATGTTCTACCCTCTGAAGGGTCCCAAATCCTTTATTCCACATTGAGTGCTGTGTGGAGGGCAGGGATATTTTTCCTAAGTGAACTCCAGTCTATGAGAAAAGGAGAGAAAGCTCCCAGTGATGGGCAGGCAAAGCCTCCTAAGGGTGTATTAGCTGTTGTTCATAAGCTCTGCTTTGAACCAAAGCCTGTGGCTTAAAAGCTGTAATACACATGAAGAGACTGTCAGTCCTTTGAGATGAGCAGTCCCTGAGAAGCCTAAACAGAATTGTTGGCTAAAAAGGAATTTGTACAACTTCTCCTTCAGCACTTCTGTGGGTTGGAGGCTTCAAACAAGTAACTCATTTACAGTCTGAGTTGTTCTGCTTTGCTTGTGTCTCTGTGTTTTGGAGGAGAGCAGATTTTGGGACTGCAGCAGAAGTCTTTAGCATACTGGAATGCAGTTTCATTTACCATCTCTATTTCCTTGGAGTGCCTTTAAACAAGACTTGACGTAAACTGTGAGCTGAGGAGTGTCTGCTACAGCTTTCTATAGATTTTTTGGAAGCTGCATTTCAAAGGAAGGCTCCCCAGCTGCAGTTAGCATTTTTTGCATCTGTAATTGCAGCCACTTTCTGTACTTTCAGGGAATAATCTGTAGGATATAATGATCTGAACAAAACATTTGGTAAGATGGCTGGTCTGTAGTAATTATGCCTGCAGTGGGCATGTGGAGTTTGACTGGGCTTGGGCCAGTGAAAGTGAATTAAAAAATACCTTGACAATGCCAGAATATGAAATATTATCAGATCTGAAGACTTGAATGACTGAGGCAAGACACAATCAGCAACATGAGGCAAGGCATTAGGCAAGGGAGTCACAAATTGGATGAGAAGCAAGATGAAAAATCAGATAGCCCCAGCCCCAGGAATCCAGTTCACTGAGCTCTCTCAAGGGTTGTGGCAGTGGATTTCAGTACCCCTCTGATTCCCTGCCTGCCTGACTCCACCCTGAGAGTTCTCAGCAGGAGCTGCTGCTTGGGCAGGTTCCTCTCCTGGTCACCACACACATAATTGGTGACTTTTTTATTTTGCTTTTTGTCTTAGTGGTCATTCAGTGAAGGTGATGCAGTGTTCTGATGCCCTGGAAATAGGAAAAAAAACCCCACAATTGGTACCCACAATTGGGTAGGGCAGTTTACAAAGAGAGGTGGCTAAATCAGCTCAGGTACCTGCAGGTTGTGGAGCTGATGGGTGCTTTGACTTCCAAACCAGGGGAACTCCTGAAGGCCAAGTCACCAGGAGCAGGTGTGAGAGGGGTTTATTGAAACTTCAGTGGCAGAAAAAGAGAGGATATTTCAGGCTTACTGTTCTGAGTGGAAGGTAAATGCTTTTCATCTTCTACTGGGCTGTATCAGAAAGAACTGGAGGAATGGGACAGTTTAAATCAATGATATAAAGGAAAAGGCAGAGACAGGAAAATGCTTTTAATGAAAAATGTTTCTTTTCCCTGTTTTTTTTTCCCTAGTTCAAATGTCAGTTCTGTAATTCCTGGATTATTCTAATCTCCAATGTTTAAGATAGAGCTTTTATTCTTCACTTAGTAGCCTGATAGACAGGCTTAGCAGGAATGTACAGAGCACTCAGTGGCAGTGTGCAATTCTATGAGGAGGATGAGACTTGAACTGTTCAGTCAGGGCAGGATGCTGAAGGAAAGTCCTGAGAGAAGGAGCCTGGGGAGGAAATGGGGCTGTCTGAAGGTGTCTGTGCCTGCTGGGTGCTCAGGCTCTGTCTCTCTTGCAGATGATGTCCCCATACGAACCTGGTTCCCAAAGGAGAACCTCTTCAGTTTTCACACTGCTACCACAACTATGCAAGCGTAAGTGCAACCACTGCTGTGGCTTTTCTTCTGCATCTCAGGGTCTGGACCTGCTCAAAACCCAGAGCCTGGAGCAGGAGTTGTGTGTTTGGCATCACTGTTCAGGGATGAGAGAGAAACTTGTCTCTTGTTAATTTTCTTTCCTACTCACTATTCTTCTCTACTGCTCTCATTTGTTTGGTTTTACCTTCTTTAACTCCTTGGGCTACCCTGTTCTTCTCTGTTCCCTGATTTTGTCTGTGACACTGTGGCCTGGCTGCCTCTGCAGAGCAAGGCTCCTGTGGGTCACCAGCTGGGACCCTCCACCAGCTGCTTCTGCTGCACACACTTCCCAAGGGAAGGGTATTCCAGGCTTGCCCTGCATCCCTCACTCCACAGAGGTGCCTTCCTCTGGGATAAGGAAGCCCTGCAGCTCTGCACGTGTGAAAAAGTGTCAGTAAAATCCCTGCAAAGTATGATGAAGGGGTGTGAGTTAGGAAGAGTCTCTCCCTCCACACTCCATGCAGGCTCATGGGTGCTGAGTTTGGGAGGAGGCAGCTCTCAAAGGGCTCAGGAGAGTGAGGGAAGCCTTGTCTCCAGGTTCTGCCAGCTTGCCAGGGAGTGCTGCCTTCCTGCTTTCGAGTATTTCCCACCTGACTGCAAAACTAAGGCAAGCAGAGAGGAAAACAAGATGCTGTTCTGCCTTCCAAGGCCCTTCCCCAGCCTTGTCACCTTTTTCTTGTGTGTTTCTTCCAATGTCTGGGACACTCTCAGCCCTCTGGCTCTGGTTTCTTCTTGTCTAATCTGGTGTCCTTTTTGTACTCTTGTTTCTCTGACATTTCTTCTTTCCCTTGTGCTTTTCCTTCCCCAAATCCTGGAGAGGCTGGTTATTTCTCTTGGGATAAGAGAAGGACCAGACATGGAATGATTCATGCAGGGAGGGCTGGATCTGGAGTTGAGGAGTGGGATAGCTGCATCCCCCAGAAAAAAACATTTAAAAGATATTGGCTGAAAACAGTCAATGGTATTTCACAGTTCTGATCTGACCCACAAACCATCAGCAAAATCAGCACATTTGGACACAGCCTTTGCTGCCTGAGTTTGTATTTTCTGTGCAGATTTGTTGCAGGATGATGGCCCATGGCTGGGCTTGCAAGGCTTGAAGGCCATTGTGGGATTGGTTTGGGGAATGGTGCCCTGAGGGAACCACGGAGGAGCACAAGTCCCTTGGTAGATGTGGCTCCTTGGTTAACATTTCTGGAGCTTCTGTGCTGCCTCTAGAAGTGACACAGAAACTCCTCCAGAAATCCCCAGAGTGCAGGGGTGGCTCTCCAGGTGCCCCTCAACTCTGCTCCAGTGTTTTCAACCCGCTGTGCTCGCTCCCTTCATGGAGCAGGCAGCATGAGCCAGCTTCAGCAGTGTTTGCCATGGTGGGAGCAGCTCTCCCTGCTCCAGGAGCTCGTGGTTCTGCAGCCTGACAGGCCACACTCAGCTCTTGTACATCTGCACAGTCTCTGGGTCTGTGTGGAGCTCACTTTGCATCTAAGCCACATGTCAGCCCTACCCAAGGGAGGATTAAGCTCAGTCAAGGAGGAGTCTCACCACTGAGAAATGTTTAATTTAAAAAGCAATTTCCTTCCACCTAACAAGATATATTCCTTCTGGAGTGAGAATTCCCTTAGAAAACTGGCTGGGGCTGAGCACTAATAAATTCCTCTTTTCTCTCTTTTTCTCTGCATCTCCTGGAATCTCTAGCATCTCGTAAGTATAATCTTATTTTTTTTATTTCCTTGTCTGTTGGTGTCCTAGCTAAGCTCTCCTCTCCTGTCCATCATATTCACTTGTGCTTTCCCTGTGCTAGGGGCTGTCTGTCAGCTGGCTGGAGGTTACGTGGCTACACCTGGTAGGCCTACATGGATCCCACCAAACCATCCTCATCCTCTGAGTGCAGCCCTTAGTCGCTGGCACACTTTGTCCCTCTTGATGCTGGTGTGCAGAGAGGGTGTGGCTGCAGCTCCCAGGTCCTTTCTGCAGAGCAGGGATGGTGGGTGCTCCTTTGGGCCACGTTCTGATGTTTGAGGAGCAGCCCAGGGATGGTGGGTGCTCCTTTGGGCCACGTTCTGATGTTTGAGGAGCAGCCCAGGGATGGTGGGTGCTCCTTTGGGCCACGTTCTGATGTTTGAGGAGCAGCCCAGGGGAGTGAGGAGCTGTGGTCTGAGTGCCCTGACCCACACGTGGTGCTGCCCAGCCCCCTGGGCAGCTCAGCCTCTGTTGTCTGCCCAGAGCTTCCCTCCGTGTGTCCCTTGTCCTCTCCACTTCCAAGTTGGACTTGGTTAATGGCTTGCCATGGTTTCCCAGGGCGTTCAGGGGCTACGCAGAGAGGAAGAGACGGAAACGAGAGAATGATTCTGCAGCTCTTATCCAGAGGTAGGGCCCGTCCCCACAGCTGTCACCTGCTGTTGCATGGGCCCTTGGGGTCACTGCTGAACCCTGGTGCCGTTGACCGTGGCTGTCCCTGTCTCTGTGCTGTCCTGGGGACGCTGGCAGTGGCTCTGCTGGAGCTGTGGAGGTGAATGATGCTCAGGATAGCTGATCTCTGTCTTCTTAAAGAACACTGTCAAGTTGCTTTTAGCATTCCACATGATCTGTGCCTCAGGCAGAAAAATACATACTTAAAAAATTAAAGATGCAATTTCCCCATTCCAACTTGGAATTTCGTATCATCACAGAATGGTTTGGATTGGAAGAAACCTAAATTTTGATCTAGTTCCAACTCCCTTGCCACAGGCAGGAATTTGTTTGAGGTTAGATGAATACTGTATGTGCTGTTACTGCATGTGCAAATGCACCTCAGAAATCTGAGATCTAGGCAAAACTGACATCTCTAGTGACCAGAAGTCTATTTTTAAGTCTTATTTTTTTTCAATAATGGAAGGGAAATAAAAGTGGATGAGGACTGATTCCTTGTCCAGGAATTACAGAAAGGCCTGGTTTTCTTCTGCAGCCTTCCTATGGCACATCATTTACTCACAGTAGGAATCAGAACTGGTTTGGTTTTTTAAATGTACCAAGAGCTGTGGCAGCCTACTAAAAAGAATAACACAGTATCTGTATAATTGGTTTAAAACTACCATGATCACTTCAACACTGTTCAAAACCAAGTGGGAGAAAAACATCAGATTTTCTTAACTGAGAAATTGTCAGGCAATATTTTTTCATAGCAACTTCAGAATGGTGAGTTTTTTTCCATCAACAACAAAGAGAAATAAAAATCCAAACTAAAGACACTCTAAACAAATAGACAGTGTGTCTTTAAAAAGAGAGATTTCTCAGAATTTGTTAGCCAGAGGCAAGTCTGGTTAGAAAATGGCTTGTGAGTACAGGAGCAGCTGTGAACCTTGGTGGGCTGTGTAGCCAGGAGGGAGGATGGCCTCACCCGAGCCATGTCCCTGCTCCTGCTGAGCACAGTGCAGGGCTGGCAGGGCAGGGAGCCTGGCTGTGCCTGCCCTGTCCCAGAGGGGAGGTGGGACAGCACTGGGGGGCTCTGGCTGCAGGGATTGCTGGCAGAGCCCGGCTCTGTCCTGCAGGGAGTGAGGAGAACCCCACTGTGGGTTTGGGTGTTTGCTGTGCAGCCCTTGGTGGGTGTTTCAGGGTTCAGATGTTGTCACACAGCCCCTTCAGTGCTGTCCTGGTGTCCAGGGAGGCTGGGATGTGTGGTGTGGCCACAGGGATGCTGCCTGTGGAGTGAGGGATGCCCAGAGCTGTGCCCACTGCAGGAGCAGCCAGAGAGGGCAGTGTGAGAGGTGCTGCCAGGAGTTTGGGCAGTGAAAAGTCTTCTGGGCAGAGTGTGGTGACCACTGCAGGCAGAGCTGCAGGGTGGAGAGGGACTGCAGTGGCTTGGAGCCCCTCTGGCTGGGATGGATACCCTGGAGGTGCCATGGGGCCATGCAGACCACAAGGCACACTGGAGCAGAGCTGTTCAGAAAAGGGAGATTTCATCACTGGAACTTGAGGGATTCTGGTTGTGTCATGATGGGTGAAGGGATCTTGCAAGGGATCAAGTGCCTCAGGGTTGCTGGGGGCAGTTGCAGGAGCCAGGCAGGAAAGCTGGGCAGGTTTGGGGAGCCCCACTGCTGGCAGAGCTGGTTGCAGCTTTTCCAGGTCCTGTCATGCTGACATGCAGGCACAGTGGAGCCTGAGGAGCCAGGCAGCTGCAAGAAGCCCTCAGAAGGATCTAAATGTTCACAGCATGGCCACATTAGGAGGCAGTCCGAGATCTGCATTTCTTTTCTGAAGTGCTGTTTTGTCTAGAAGAAAATAGATGGAGCAAAAGGCCTTTGTCCCATTCTGTGAGGGTTTAGTGCAGTGGTTAACCTTGAACAGCTGGATTCTCCTTGGAGCTGCTCTCAGGGGAGTTTAGGAGATGTATTTAGATCTCTCCAGGGAGAGCCCAAGCTGTCCAGGCAGCTGGGAGCAACGTTCTTCCATGCAAAGGCTGCTTTACCCCTCTTCCTCCAAGGTCTGAAGAAGCTCCTCTGTGGAGAGGACAGCTGAGCATTTAAAAGTGGGTTTTACTCCAAAATGCCAAAAGCCCAAAGGATGTGACAGTGGCCTTGGGCAATTAACAGTGGTGCTCGGTGCCTGGTATGATCTCAGGCTCACAACAGACCATAAAGATTTCCATGTAACATATGTCTGAGACTTCTTTGTGTAAAAAACAGCCCTGGTTCCCTTAAAATGTTGTATTTATTTGGATTTTAATTGAATGCACTGTAAGTGATGGTGCACCCCAGAAGGCTTTGTACAGAGAGCTAGGCCAGGGATGTGCCTAAAGGGGCACTTGTCTGATCCACAGCAGTGAATCTTCATGTACCCAAGTAGAGACAAAATAAATCTTTGGGAAACATTAATAGCCCAAGTGTAGACAGAAGTTTGGCATGGAACAATGCCGCTCCCAGCTGCTGGTTTTGCTTCTTGCTGAATTTGGAGCCTGATGACAACAAGGGCTCCCAGGCCAAAGAGGGGAAGTGCAGGAGGTGACGTGGGTGCAGTGCTCTCCCACAAGGACTGTGTTTGTGTGGATCTCCTGGACAGGAGCAGATGGATCTGAGTTTCTCTGAACAATTTCTTGTCAGTGCTGGCAGTGTCTTTTGTTCCAGTCAGTTTGCTGAAGCATCTGCATGGTTGTACCATGTCCTTACTCATCCCACTAACCTGTGTGTGAGCCAGACAACTTGTGACTTACCCCTCTCACCAGCTGTGCTGTCTGTTGCCTGGTGTTTGCCCTGTGTGTTGGGGGCCACAAAGAATCCAGGAAGGCTCCCCCACTGCAGGGTGCCCAGTGCATGGGCTCTCTGTCATCCTGGGGCTGCACTGTGGGGTGAAGCCACAGTCACTAAATAGGGTTCATGGAGAGGTGACACTGCTCTTGATGCTGCTTCTCCCTGTCTCTTCTGGTGTCCTGTTTGTTCCTGTCCTGTTCCTGCCTTGTGAGTGATGAGAAACTGAGAGAAACTGGTCCCTTGCACTCAGAGGGGCTGGAGAGAATCCCTTGGCCATGGCCACTGAGGAGCAGCGAGGACATTGTGTTTCACACAGACCTGGCTCTGGGGTGTAGCCGCTCCCCAGGGCTTTCTCCTGGAGCTGTGTGCTCTGCAGCCCCTCTGGACCTGCCTGTGAGGCCAGGGCAGGGCAGCACATGGGGAGAGCAGGCCCATGGGGACAGGCAGCATCCCTCAACTCTGCTGTGCAAGGAGGGAGAACGTGCTTTGGTCCTCCCCAGCTGTGCCTGGAGAGCAGCACGAGCTGCATGGTTACCAACAGCACAGGAGGGGTTTTAGGAGCTGTGTTTGGGAATGAGCACAGCCCCCAGCGTGCAGAGCCTGGACACCCCACATTCTGCTGGAGAGAGGGGAGCAGTTACTGCTCTTTACCAGGAAAAGAGGGAACACTGCCAGCACGGGCAGCAGTGGGTGTCCTCAGCAAATGCAGCACAGGTAAAGCTTAACCAGAGAAAAGGGAAAGCAGCCATGGGTAGGGGGCTGCCCTCTGGGAGCCCACTTGCCCTGTACCAGCAGCCCAGGGAGCTCAGAACAGCCCCACTCAATGAACATCACCATCCCAGCACTAAATCACCGCAGGCTGGGGACCTGGTCTCCAGCTTTGGAATGCCCAGAAGGAAATATACCATCATCCCCATTTTATTTTCTTCCTCCCTGTTTTCACAGTTCTGCTGGGCCCAGGTGTTGCTTCTTGTCACCTTTCTCAAAGGTTGTGTTTGGCCTTTTTTTCAGGAATTTTCGGAAGCACCTCCGCATGGTGGGGAGCCGAAGGGTTAAAGCACAAAGTAAGTGAGCACCTGGAAGTGTGGCTGTGAGGAGCTGGGCTCTGTGGGGTTTGTGGGAATTCTGTCACATGCAACTGTGGGTTGAAAGGACCTGGCTTTGGGCTGGAGAGAGGAATTGACCTGTTGGTGCCATTTCACCCTACAAACAAGAACACCAGGTGGTTGCAAGTGTCCAGGACATGTGGATGCCTGCAGCAGCCTGGGGGCTGTTCCCAAGGACCCTCTGCTGTGGCTGTGGGACATCTCTGGTGCAAGGCATGGAAGGAAAGCTGCAGCATCCTTGTCCCCTGTGTGGATTTTGGTGATCACTGGAGTGGAGGCCAGTGAGGAGAACCTGAGCTGGGAGTTCAGCAGAGCTGCCTGGCCTCTCTCTGCAGCTGTGACCAGCTGTGGCTCCATGTGCCACACAGCCTGCTGGCTGTCCCCTCCTGCTCTGTCCCACTGTCATCTCCACAGCTGGCCCTGGGGGAGAGTTGCCTGGTGGGAACTGAGATGATGGTGGAAGGAAGAAAGAAGAGGATCAGAGAAGAGATTGGAGCAAGGGGCAAATCAGGGAATGTTATGCCTCACTGGGGAAGAAATCACCTCTTAGGCCTGCAAAGTTGCAGTTCCCTTTCCCTGGTGAAGGCAAGAATCCTCCAAAACTTGGTTGGGCAACTCCCTTAGTGCTGTGAAAGTGGTGTAAATAACCTGCTCCTGGGAGCTGAGGATTGCTCCAGAAGAGACAGCATCTTGTTCTTCCCAACCTCTCTGGCCAGGCATCATGTACAGAGTGCCCACAGCAAAGCATTGCTGAGTTCAGTTTGTATTCTTTCCTTTCTCATGTGCTGTGGGAAGTGATCAGCAAAGAGCTTTGCCCTTTCCAGAGTCTTCATCAGCATCTGAGTTAGCAGTGCCTGACGTGGACAGGGCTTACCTCCGTGAAACTCAGGCCTGCCTCTGCCTCAGGAACTCTTGGGTCATGTTTTCAAAGCTTTCTTTCTGTGCACAGTAGCTAAATGCCTGGGTTTATCTGAAAGCTGAGGATGAAGATCACCTGAAGAATTGAAGACATCATTTGTCTCCCCAGACACCCTCCCTGGCCACACTTCAGCAGGGGACAGGCTGCTCTTGTGATCTGCAGTGAATTCCTGTACTGCTGTTACTCAATTCCCCGCTGCACACTCTGTCTGCCACCAGAAATAGGTATTAGTGCCCATAAGTGGCTGTTAATCCTGGCATAATGGCTCTCACATGGGCTTGCCAAGTCAGACACGGTGGTTGCCAGTTCCCAGGAATTTGCCTGCGGTGCAGCCGTCTGAGCCAAGCTCCCTGGTTTGTGCTTGGGAAATGCCAGTGCAAACAACACAGCACTCCTTGGGAGGAAAAAAAAGCCATGAGTAGTGCTCACAAGAGTGCAGGCAAGCAAAGGCTGAAGGATTTCCTCTTTTGCAACAAAATGTAGAAAGTGTTAGCTTTCCAGAGACATCCCCTCCCTGCTGTTTGGTCCAGCTCTGACTGGGATGCCAGTAGAACATGAAGGGAGAACTTACTGGAGCACTACAGCTGCCTTCTGGCCATGCAGGTGTTGCAGTGCATATTTCTGTGAGGCCTTGGAATCTGAACACTTACACTGGGACACTGGACTGGCCTTGGTTAAATTGAGGTTTGAGCTGTGTGCATTTGAGGAGAGACCATCAAGTGTTGTCCTTTTTCTGTGTTCCATGTCCCATCCTGTGCACAAGTGGACACTTGTCTCTGCTGTGTGGAAAGGACTCACGTTTGGCAAATGGAAGGAGCAGCCCAAGGGAGTCTGTGATGTGTGGCTTTGGTGGCAATCTGCTGGATGATTTGTTTGCTGGCAGCAGCAGAGGTGCTTTGGGATCTGTTAATGTCGTGCTCTGGTTTTATCCTTTAGCATTTGCCGAACGGCGTGAGAGGAGCTTCAGCAGGTCCTGGAGTGACCCGACTCCCATCAAAGCTGATTCCTTCCATGACTCTCGAGAAAGTGAGTTCTGAGTCCTTTGAGCTTCCTCCTGTGGGCAAACGCTCCAGCAGTTGTTGACTGGAGTCCCACTGGAGTAACTCCTCTGTGCCCTCTGTCCTGTCTGTGATCCTTTTTTAGTTTCCTGAGATCGGAGCAGGTAACGCTCCAGGTGTATGTACCTGTTCATCTGTGTGTACCTGTATTTATTTGTAGAGCACCACTCATCCAACCTCAGATTATTGAGCAGTTGCCAAAGGGTACCCAGTGGTACAACTCTCTTACAGCCCTCTGTTCCCATCATCCCTTATCCTCTTGGCACCAAAACAACCTCTCTGGAAACTCACCAGTCCAAGGCTGCCTTCACCATAGTGGGGCTAATGTGGCTTCCCATGCAGGAGCCCCTTCTGAGCTCTTTCCTAGCCTGGAATAGCTCAAGAACACAGCTGATGAGATGGAGCTTTGATTTCCTGCACAGGTGATAGCTTGGGGCAATCTGATCTTCATTTGGGCTGCCAGGAATCCCTCTGGGAATCCCCAGTAATGCTGCCGTGTTCTGCTTGAGGGGACTGAGATGCTGTTGTGTTCATTTACAGGAAGGAATGCCAGCATCTGTATTCTTATAAAGGGACTGGCTGTTTTACACAGATTTTATTGCAAGCCTGTAGGCAGGAGCTTGGTGGATATGAGTTTGCCCATGTTGAAGTGAATTTCACTAATGAAATGACCTGATCTACCAGGTAAGCACGAGATCTGGCCCTGCTAGCTGTAGAAGACCCAGGTTGCAAGGGGAGGTGTATGGAAGGCCAGGTTCACAACATGATCCTGTTGTTTGGCAGTCTGACTCCTCCCTGCTCCCTCAGCTGCCCGGAGGCAGATGGAAAAGCCATGGGAAAGCCATGGAAAAGCCATGGGAAAGCTGTGGTTCACACAGGCTCCAGGCACTGCCCAGCGACACTCGGACATCCCCAAAGGCACAAACAGTGGCACCTCGGTTCTCTTTCCTCAGTCCAGCAACCATCTCTGTTTTTAACCTTTAATGGTCAATTATATTCCTTCCAGATGTTTTTTTCCCCAGGAGGCATTGAAGGTCAACAGGTAAGGTCGATTTGGAGAGCAAGTTCAAGTCTACTGTTGCAATTTGACTGTGTTTGTTGCAGCTGTCCTCACGCACGCTCTAAGACTTCTCTGCCAGGATCAGTCTGACCCACAAGTCAGATTTTCTTTATAATCCCTGAAAAGATGTAGTCAGAGCAGTAATTACTACAAGGAGACCAGCTTTGAAGTCTTTGGACTTCTGCTTATCAGCCTGGCAGTGCTGAAGTGTAGAGAGTCTGTCTGTGTTCTGTCTCCTTCCCCATTTCTGGAGTGACAGGATGACTGTTGTGACTTAGCATTTGAAAACCAAGCTTGGTGACTGCGAGAGTGATGAAGTTGTGTGACACGTGATGTGAGCTCTCTGTGCACTCTTCATTTGTTCCATGTTTGTCTGTTTGAAGGCACCAGCCCCAGAGTGGTGTCTGTCACTCTGTGGGTAACAAGAGAGCACGAGTGTCGTGGCACCTCTTGTGAGGAAGCTGCCAAGGCAGGATGGAGTGGGGAAGGCTGTTCTCCCCTTGTAATGCTCCCTGTGTTCTGGCAGGCCATGACCTTCAGGATTCCTGCGGGACTCTGGATGGTGACTTTGACTTGAACTGGGAAGCAGAAAAGGAACTTGAAGCCATGGCATGTGACGGAGAAGACTTTATTCCACCAAAAATAATGGTGAGAGTTTGCAGCTCATGCTCTGCCTGTCCTTTCAGTGCTGCTAAGTTCAGGATCTTCATGGGAAGTCTCTTGTATAGGCACAGCATCAGGGGTCTGTGGGGTCACTCAGAGATGAACCAAGACTTGACATGGGCTCTGATCTGTTGTTGCTGGAGGTAGTGCATTGAAATAAAACTAGAAGGAGGGATCTGTAATCCAGATCAGAGCAGGACTGACACTATTGTATTTGCAGGGAATGCCCCTACGAAGGAAGGAATGATGCATCTGACTCCATGTTCTCACAAGGCTAATTTATTACTTTATTATACTATATTACATTAAAGAACACTGTACTAACTATACTAAAGAATACAGAAAGGATACTTACTGAATACTAAAAAGATAATAATGAAAACTCCTGACTCTTTCCAGAGTCCTGACACAGCTTGGCCCTGATTGGCCAAAGAGTGAAAACAACTCCCAGCAGAATGCAATGGAACAATCACCTGTGGGTGAACAATCTCCAAACACATTCCACATGAGCACAGCACAGGAGAAGCAAATGAGATAAGAATTGTTTTCCTTTTCTCTGAGGCTTCTCAGCTTCCCAGGAGAAAAACCCTGAGTGAAGGAATTTTTTCAGAGAATGTGAATGCCACATGACACCAACACAGAACCAAGTTAGCCTGAGGCTTGTTAACCCTGAAAATAGAGACCTGAGCACCACTGCCAGCTCTGCTCCCACACTGGAACTGAGGGGCCTGGAATCACAACAGTTCAGGCTCTGGTGCTGCTGGAGCCAGCTGAGGCTTCAGCCAGAGTTGTCAGGCACTGTCTGACACCTGCAGCCCTGTGCCTGCTGTGCCTGGTGCAGGGCCAGCCCTTGGCTGGACCCTGTGCAGGTCCCACCACACACTGAACACTCCCTACAGCCAGAAGGAGTTTGCAGGAGTGATCCTCACTGGGATACTGTGGTGTTTCTGAGGGTCCCTAGGATGAGGTGAGAGGTGAAAATCTGACTCCATGTTCTCAGAAGGCTGATATTATATTATATTATATTATATTATATTATATTATATTATATTATATTATATTATATTATATTATATTATATTATATTATATTATATTATATTATATTAATATCACTATACTAAAGAAAGAGAAGGATACAGACAGAAGGCTTAACAAGAAAGAATAATAAAAACTCGTGACTGACTCAGAGTCTGACACAACTGGCTGTGATTGGTCATTAAGTAAAAACAATTCACATGAAACTAATCAAACATGCTCCTGTTGGTAAACAATGTCCAGACCACATTCCAAAGCAGCCAAACACAGGAGAAGCAAATCAGATAATTTTTATTTACATTTTTCTCTGAGGCTTCTCAACTTCCCCAGGAGAAGAAATCCTAGCAAAGGGAATTTTCAGGAAATACCACGGTGACAGGATACAGCCATCCATGGTGCTGCATGAGCTGCTCCATGCTCTGTGCACCCCAGTGTCCCCTTTCCAGCCTGTTCTGGGCCCAGTGCAGCCTGAGGGCAGAGCTGTGTGCTCATGTGGCACTCAGGGCACTCAGCAGGCCTGGGGTGCTCTGGGCTGGAAACCTTTCCCTGGGATATGATGAACTGGGTTAGCTGCTACCTCGAGTCACACCTGAGACCAGCTGAACAGGGCACTGCTTCATGGCCCTTGTGCTTCTGTCCAGGCTCTCCTGCCTTCTCCTCATGCTGTTGCACCTTTTTTCCCCTTTGCAGCTCATCTCTTCCAAGGTGCCCAAAGCAGAGTATGTCCCAACCATTATCCGCAGGGACGACCCCTCCATCATCCCCATCCTCTATGTAAGTAAATCCCTTCTGCTGTGATGAGAGCACAGGTCATTCAGACACTTTTTTATTTCCCTAGTTCTGTTAGGATGACTCCAAAATGCTGATGTGATTTGGAAAAGCTGTCAGAAAGGGGCTGGGGGTGTGTTGAACCCAGCTTTGGGGTCTGGGGTAGCTTTGTGGGGGCTCAGGTCTAGGTGGAACAGTCAGGTGGGCTGGAAATGGCACATGTGGACCCTGGGCTCTGCAGCCCAGGCAAGCTGTGTGGGAGGATTGTCAAGGGAAGGCAGGGCAGGCATTGCCAGGCTTAGGGCTCCTCCTTATGCTCATGCTTGGGATAAGCAGCACTCAGAGCTCAGCAGTGAACCACTCACTGTCAGTCATTAATTTAACTCTGACTTTTCCCTGGGAGTCTGGCCCGAGCAGGTGTCTGACACAGCAGTGAGGAGTCATGAGTTTCTTTTTCTAATCACTTAATTTGCAAGGGAGGGTGGGACTGGGAGCCCAGCAGGGTCACTGTCAGTGTGCAGCAGGCTGTGCTGCTGGGGTTTAGCCTTGCTGCTCTTGTCTCTCTTCCTTGGAGGGTTGTTCAGTGCTCCTGATGACCCTGCTGTGGCAGGGGCAGCTGGGTTGGGAGTGCAGCTGTTTGTCAGCCAGCTTGGCCAGGGGTAGAGCCAGAGAGTGGCTGCAAAACATGGGCAAACAGGCATTCCTGATGTTGACTGCATCTCAGGGACAGTCTGTGCTTTGGATGTGTCTGCAGGCTTCAGCTGCAAGCCTTTGGGTGGATTTGATCTTCATGGACTGTTCAGTCTTCAGCTTCTGTGCTGAAATCTGATTTAGGGTGAGGGTTACTGCTCCTGTGAGCAGCAGCCATCAGTTGGTGTAAATGTGCTTTTAAAGCATCCTTGGAATGGGGTTGTATGATTATTAGGGAGCTGGTGGAGTGACAGTGAACCTTTACATATCTTCTCTCTTGGTTTCCAGGACCATGAACATGCCACCTTTGATGACATCCTGGGTACGTTAGTGTTGCCTCCTTTTCTTATCTCCTGTCCATTGCAAATGTAACCATCAATATTTAAGTCACTCAGCTGCCCTGTGCTTCAGCTGCCACTCACAGAGTTGTTTTTGTCACCCCAGTGACCCTGCCAGTCAGTTGGCTGCTCTTGGATTTGTGCTGTAATAAGCACTCACTTCTGGGACCTGTTTGCTGTGCTAAACTCGTGGTTTGCAGCAGGGAAACTGAGGCACAGGGCAGCAGCTGCCTGTTCATTGTACCTGAGGTGGGGAGTGGGAGCAGTGACAGAGGACCAGGAGGGCTGGGGCTGCTCCAGAGCTGTGGTCACTACAGAGCAGTGTCTGGTGCTGTTCCATCCATCTCTGCCCCGTCACCTGCTGACATTTCCTGCTCCCACAGCATCCTTGGCATTACTGAGCACCCCCAGCTCAGCTTCCTGCCCTCAGGACTAAATGTAAAGAAATGAGATTAATTTTGACCTTTGTCCGTGGTTCATCTTTTCCAACATGTTTTGTTTGGTTGGGTTTTTTTTTTTTTGCAGAGGAAATAGAGAAGAAGCTGAACATTTATCGGAAAGGCTGCAAAATCTGGAAGATGCTGATATTTTGCCAGGTACATGAAAGTTGTTAAGCACTTGGGTGATTTGTTACAAATTTGTCATTTTCTGTGGGGAAAGTGATGTAGAGGAACCAATATTCCAAAGTCAGCTTCCATTAAAGTCACTGCCAAGGCACAGCTTTCACTTCCCATTTCCCAGACATGGAGCAATCTCAAGTTGCTGTGACAGCAGGAAATCAAATCTGATTTAGTGAGGCCAAGTCAAGAGCTGGGCTGATTCTCTCAAGGAACCCCAGAAAATCCAGCATCAGCACTGACCTAGAAAGGATTCCAGAGACAGGAACAAACACTTGCAGTGTCATAGTTATGGTTTCCATCCAGCTTCAGTGTGACAGTGACAGTGGTTGTGGCCAGACTGGCAGATGGCTCAGCTGGGAGCTGGAAGCCAGAGGATGCAGGAGAGGGATCAGGCTGGAGCTGGGGCTGGGACAGTCCAGGCCCTGCTGGATTTGGGGGGTGCTGGGGATTTCCTTCCCAAGTTTGCTGTTCCTGCTGGTGGTCAGCTGTGGGCTTCCCCAGCAGCTGTGCCATGAGAAGTGGGATGGGTGACCTGCCTGAGCTCCCTCCACGTGCCCAGTGCTGCAGAGGAGCAGCTTTGCTGCACACTGACCCGGAGGTTGTGACTTTCAGTGTTGCTGGTGCTGTGTCAGTCTGTTCATGCCTCTTGTTCATGCCTCCTGCTGCCCCAGTCCAGTTCCTCTGCAGTGCCAGCCCTTCCTGCAGTCCCTGCTGTGCTCAGCTGCTCCTCTGCCCACCCCCAGCATCCCCAAGTGACAGGGACTTTCTCGCCTTCCCTGTTATTCTCCAGCCACCCACAATGGCGTTTTAAATCTATTTTTGTGCCTTTCTAGAGTGATGTGGGCACGGAGCAGCAAAAAGCACGGAACGCAGCCCCCAGCACGCTGCCCGTGTGTGGATGGCCCTGGGCGTGTCTGCACTGCAGGGCTGCCCTGCTCCCTTGTGGCACTTCTGGGAATGGCTGGGCAGGACAGGAACTCATCCAGGGTCTGTGCAAAGGGGTTTCCATCTGTCTGTCTGTCTGTCTCTTGCAGGGAGGCCCCGGGCACTTATACTTGTTAAAGAACAAAGTCGCCACTTTTGCCAAAGTGGAGAAGGAGGAAGATCTGATCCTGTGAGTGGCTGTGCTGTGTTCTGGCCTTGCATGGTGTTTCTCTGCTGGATTTGCTCAATGTTTGCAGCACATGGTGGAACAAGAGAAGTGAAGGGAGCTGGGGTGGTTTGGTCAGGGGATGAGGGGGCTGAGGAGGCACTGAATAGCAGCTCACAGCTCATTCAGGGTGACAGCAAAGGTGGCAGAGCTGAGCTCATCCCTGGGGTGCTGCAGCCCTGTCACCAGGAGATTTATTCTTATATCTAATTAGTGTCTCTGTGGATAGAAACTGTCAAAAAAGGAGGGATAAAAAGATATTTCTTCTACTGAAAACAGCCTTGCTGACCAGAAATGAGAACATGCACCTCGAGCCTGTGGTGTTGTGATACCCTTGCTAAGCTGGTGGCTATGGCAGAAATCCAGGGTGTTCCCCCACAGCTGACTCTGGCCAGGGGGAAATGGAATTTGTTTCTGCAAAGCCTGCTCAAAGTCCAGTCTGTTACTGAGGAGGCTTTTCACTAACATGCCAGCCTTCAGCTGGGAGTGCTGAGCAATTTTGCTGCTCCTTGCAGAGAGTAAAGCTTTGCCTGTTTTGCTGCCTACTCGCTTGTGCTGGCTCAAACTTGCTTGGCTAACAGTGCCTGGCTGTGGGGGGAGGATGTACACCAACCTGTTCCTACACAACTTTTGTTGGCATGAGAACTGAGCATTAAAATCAACATCTGCCCAGGCATCTCGTGCCCTGGCACAAACACTGGCTGTGGAATTCTCCAGCACGTGTGCACATCCAGGATTCTGAGCACATCCCAGGCATAGCTGCTCCCAAGCTGATAAATCAGGGATCTGCAGAGAGCTGTGAACACACAGCTGGAAGTTGGGGAGCTTGGAAGTGAATGTCTCCATCCAGCTTGTGTGTCCTGGGAGGCAGTGCTGGGGAAAGCTGAGGCTGCAGTCTGGTTGAAACACCCACGGAGGAATTTCTGGGCTTTGGAGCCCCCCAAAGTTGTTCCAGCCCTCTGCCCAGGGGAGGGAGTCGTGTTTCACATCCCTCAGGCACCAATGCCTGGTCACAGTCACTGCACATCAAGGGGGGGTGACTGTGAGCAGCACCAAGCACGGGCTGACATGGAGCTGCCTGGGCTGTATTGTCTCACTCAGAACAATCTCTGCAGCTGTTCCCTGCTGATTTCATGCCCTGGAAATGAACCAGTGCCCTGATAAGCCTCGTGTTCAGAAAGGGCAGTTGTTGATAGAAATGGGAGAGAGGAAGCTGGAGGGGACGCTTGGTGAAGCTGTCACTCCAGAAGCACTCCTGGGGGACTTTGCTCCCTTCTCCTCACCTTGGAGCTCCCTTGGCTCGATGGGCTGCTCCTCCTTCTCTGCCACATGACTTGGACCTGCTCCTCAGGCCCTGGCTCTGCTCCTGTTCTTCCTTGTCTGGGATCCAATGGCTCTTCCTGAGCAGTTTCCTGCCCAGGGTACAAACCTTGGGCCCTGGCTGAGTGCTGTTACACATGTCCTTGGCATTAATCATGCCTATGAGGAAAGATTTATTTTTTTTTTAATGATGTGTTCTGTTTTTTCCAGCTTCTGGAAGAGGTTGAGCAGGCTGATGAGTAAAGTCAATCCTGAACCAAATATCATCCACATCATGGGCTGCTATGTTCTTGGAAACCCCAATGGGGAGAAGGTAGGAGCCTGTGGGTCACCCCTGGAATGTCTGCTGGGCCCAGGGAGGCCAGAGTCACACTGGGAGCTCTAAACCTGCCTCCTCTGCTGGTTGGGAATGTGCTGCTGTCCTGTGTGTGGGAGCTGTGAGTGGGAGAACCCTCTGGACTGTGGGGCAGGGGAGGAAGGATTAGTGATGTGCAGGACAAGTAATGAAACCTTTGAGGAGAGGAGATGTTCAAAGCACTTGGTTTATTTATTTACTGGTGAGATAGATGTTTCAAAGGATGTGGGTGGAAGGTTTTCCAGAACAAAGATGGGCAATTCTGGGTGCTCAGGAGTCATCATTGTTTTCAGCTGTTAACTCTGGTATGTTTTCCTTTCAGCTATTTCAGAATCTGAAAAACTTAATGAATCCTTATAGGGTTGCCTTTGAGTCTCCACTTGAACTATCAGCTCAAGGTAATTTATTTCCTGTACAAAGACACACAGACACCCCTTGCTAACCAGTCTGCCTCCTTTGGGGGGCATCTTCATGAAGAAGCAGTTTTGACTCCCTTAAGTCCTGCCATGGTCTTTGTTTTGCTTGTAACCACCTTGTGTAGCTCAGCTGCTGCCCCTTGCAGTTCCTGCATGTGTTCACCTTTCAAATGCCCTGTTTGTTGTGCCTGAGGGTCCTGGCAGTGCAAAGGAGGAGACAGCTTTCCAGGCTGAGTGCAGGAGAACCCATCATTATTAGGGCATGAGGAGTCTGTAGAGGAAATGCACATGGAGCAGAACCTTCCTGTAGCCAGGTGTGCTGGGGTCCCTTCTCCAGAGCTCAAACCACTGGCACCAAGTGAATTGTGTCAGTAAGCAACTGGGATATGGCCCATCAGAGCCATTCTACAGCTCAGTCTGCTGGCCCTTTTCCCTTTTTTTTTCTTTCCTGTAGCTCAAGATATTTCAAGAAGCTACAGGATGTTTCCTGTTCAATGTCAGTAATTCACAGTGCAGTTTCACAGGTGACACATTCTGAATTTGCCCTTTTATCTTTGCTGTAGTTCTTGGCTAATAAAACCACGCAGAATTCAGCTGTAAGCGCTTCTCTGCTGCCCACAGCTCTGGTCTCAGCACTGATGGGTTTTTCTTACCTCCCTTCACTCTCAGGAATGTGCAGGAGTTGAGGACATTGGTGCTCAACTGTGCAGAGTCACAGAGCTCACAGAATCACAGTCACAGACTGGTTTGGGTTGGAAGGGACCTTCAGACTCCCCCAGTTCCAGCCCATCCATGGGCAGGGCCACCTCCCTCCAGCCCAGGCTGTTCAGTTCCCTGTGCATGATCAGTTCAGCTGCACACAGTGCCTGCACAGGAGCAAACAGGCTGGGATGTGTCCAGGAGCAGCTTGCAGGGAAATTCCTGGGTTTGTGGGCAGCTCAGCAGGCCAGGCAGTGGGTTCTGTGTGCAGGCATTAGAGCAGCTCAGCTTTCAGGAGGCTGGGCTGAAGAATACGTCTGAATTTATCCCCTTCATCAGTCTGGGACATGCTAAGAGTGTACCCTTGTAATCCTTTGCAAAGTCATCTAAAACTAATCTTAATCAGGCCTCACAAGTGAAAATCCCCTCCTTGAGCCCTGTCTGAGTGCAGGGTTGTTTGCCCTTGTGTTTTCAAATGCACCTCCTGGCTGCCTGTGAGATCCCCTTCAGTCAGAGGGGCTGGGGGGCACAGCTGGCCCTGGTGTGTGCTGTGAGCTCAGACAGGAGCAGGACAGGGATGGCCTGGTCATTTAAAAAAAATGTATTTTTAAATTTGGATTTTCAGTGTTAATTAGTTTTAGTGTTTCTTTACAAGGAGTTAACTCTTGTTTTACAGCTTCTGAAGTCCCTGTGCCTCATGCAGGCTGTGGCTGATCATCTCCAGCCCCCAGCTCCCCTCAGCCCTCAGAGCAGAGAGGTCAAAGTCTGGAGACAGACTTTGTGCTCAGTTCCTGCTCCCAGGAACAAACCCTGCCAAGGGATTACAGGGAGCTGTTCATGGTTGAGGAGATCTGAAAAGATCTTTGGCTCTCACGGGCCCCTCCACGTGCCCAGTGTCAGCATTTGCCATGGATGTGTCCCTGTGCCCACGCTGGGCTGGGGTTTGTGCTGCTGTGTGCTGTCACCTCTCCCTCGTGCTCCTTTCAGGGTGTGACCCCTCTGTGCTCCTTTCAGGGTGTGACTCCTCTGCCTGGTTTCACTTCTAGGTAAGCAAATGATTGAGACTTACTTTGACTTCCGCCTTTACCGCCTCTGGAAGACCCGCCAGCACTCCAAACTGTTGGATTACGATGACATTTTATGAGCTGGAGAAGCCTTTGCAAGAGGAAGCTCATCACCAGTGTCCAAGAAGTCATGCTTTATTGCAGAGAGACTTTTTTATTGGCACGGGGAGCCCTTCACAGCCCTACAGGAGGCAGCAGTGCTAAGGGGAGGGAAGGAGGAGCCCTCGGAAGCGCCGGCAGGAAAAGGCTCCTGGGCCAAGAGAGACTGGAGGGAAGGGGGTGACAGTGACACCTCGCTGGCCTCAGTCCGAGCCCCGGGCCTCAGGAGGAGCTGTGTGAAACGAGGACAGGATGGAGTTCCTGGCAGAACTGAGCTGTTTTGGGTCAGAATGGGCCAGATTTGATTCCAGGTCCTTTTAAAGACTTTTGAAGCTCAGGTTTTCTTACAAAAAAAACCACACAAACCCAATTAACCCATGCACTACAGTGAAGAAGTCACCAGAGCACAGAGGGAGCAGGGGCTTGTCCTGGTGGGACTTTCTGTGCTGGGAGTCCTGGAGAGCAAGGACTGCTACACCTACTCCTGCAAGCTTAGAGCAAGATGATCCCATTTCCATGTGAATATATACTGGGATATAGAATTGAAATCTTCTTTTTTGTTTGTTTGTTTTGTTTAATAGAAAATAAGTGCAATTTTTATAGCGAGGGAGGGGGATAAAATCTCTCCTGATATTTAATTAGTTAAAAATAACACACCATAACCAATAGATGAGGTATTTTTGGTCTGCTTGAAAATATATTCAGAATGGTAATATATCTTCTGTAGACATATTTAATCACCAGCAAACATGGTTTTAACATAAGTTAGCAGACCCTGCATGTCTGCTGCATTGGTTTGGTTCCTTTCAGAGTAGCTGTGCTGCACTACCTGTACGTGCTCTCACCAATGTGTAGTTCTCCTCCAGTTAGCCACAACTTCATTACTTTCTATTTTGCTGCTTGCAAAACTATGGAACTTTAGTTTTGCTGAAATACTTTAGGTTAGAAACACGGGACCTGGCTGGGAATCCTCTGTCAGGCTCGCTTTGGTATAAAAAAGAATTAGAAATTAATAGCCATGGTAATTAATTGTTCATGCCAGTGTTTTGCTGTGTGTTGGGAGAGGAGCTCTCTTCCTGTGTGGAGACCCCTCTGAGGGGGCTGAGCACCGAGGCATTTGGGAGAAATGCTTCTGGAGGGACACAGCACAGGCTTGGAGCATGAGTTTGACTCTTTGTTCACTTGATTGCCAGTTGTTTGTGCATAACCCACCCCTTTTCCCTGACCTGTGTCTTGGTCTGAGCTGCTCAGCCCCTCCCTGTGGAGGACAGAGAAAACCCTGAGCTCTGTTAGAGCAGCCTGAGAGCCCAGGTCTGTACTTGATATTTGATGGTACCTTTTGGAATCTATTTATTTTTTGTTTGGTTGGGTAAGGGGGTGCTTTTTTTGGTTTTGGGAATGGGGCTTTTTTCACATTCTGCTGTCCTTTCAGAGGACAAATAGTACTTAGAGTCTTTGTAGGTCACTGGCAATTCTGGGAGGTGACACAAGTTATTTCTTTGACAAGCAAAGGAAGGAACAGGGAAGGATTACCTTATTTTCCTGATTTCCTGCTATCTCAAATTTGTTGATTGTGAAGTGAAGGAAAATAGATGTACAAATTTTCTTTTAACTACTTACAAAGAGAACTTGGTGTTCTGATCTGTAGAGTCCTCCTTCCCCTGTGCCATACCTGTGGTTGTGATTTTGGGGAGCAGGCCCCAGGCTAGAACTGCTGAACCCTTTACATTTAGAGCAGTTTGATAGCAAAACTTTTGAAGAAATAATGTACATACAGTAAGGAGAGGAATGGGTGGAGAGAGGTATTTAAAGTCACTGAAAGCCACACAGACAGGTGTGGGCTGTTGCCTCCCCCAGGTTGGGAGCTTTGGTAGCCACATCTCATCCCTGGACTCAGTCAGCTTTGCCAGACTTACAGTGAAGGGGAGAACAGGCACCAGTCTGTAGCTTTTGGAAGAAAATTATGCCAGATATAAAAGAAAAAGAACCCCAAATTTATGCCAATTACTGTTTAACATTGGAGCTTCCACCAGCTCTGTGTGAGAGGTGGGAGCCAGAGGTGCCCTGAAAGCACAAAGTCATGTTATCTGGAGAAGGAAATGGTTGTGGGAAGATTAAAATGCTGACACAAAACTCTCTCCCTTTCTGACCCTTTCACCTCCTGACTGGAGACAGGCAAACTGTTCTTCCTTTCTCAAATCCCAATTCAGTGAACTTGGTAGCATGAATGTAGCATTGTGCAACTATTGAAAATCTTATTTAACCCCCAAAGGGCCCATTTATGTATCCACTTGAGTGATTTCTCTGTAGAATTGTTGTATATCCTCACTGACCACTTGTAGTACTTGGGGTGCAAAGTAGAAGGTAGATTGTACAGTAATTTCTGTGTTGGAATGGACATTATGGACTGTTCTCCTGGTGCAGTTTATGGGATATGACAACTGATGAATGCATTTCTCTCCAAAGATCTATATTCCTCATAGCTTGTGATGTTTATGACATGAACATATTTTTTCCTTTCTTTGTAGCATTCATATGCCTAAAGAGATGAAATTCTCTCAGAGCTGTGACTGGAATAGAGTTGTGATGTTTGATGTCCTGTGTGCAGCAGCATCCTTGCAGTTAACCACTGGTGACAGAGGAAAACGCTTTTATTCCCTTTTTTCACTGGTGGAGTTTTTCAGGTGGCTGCTGGGAAGGGAAGGGGTTAGCAGAGGCAAATAAAAATTGTAATTATTTTAAAATTTAGAGGTAAAAAATAGAGCCTGGAAGTTCCTCAGTGAGACCAGCCTGTAAAGGATGAGCCCAGCATGGTCCCAGCCAGGACAGCTCCAAGGCCCTGTGTGTTCCTCACCCCCTGTGCTCCTGCAGCATCCCCTGGAGGTTCTGGGGCTGCCCCAGTGCCCTGCCTGGGGCAGCTGTGGACAATCTGCCATCCCACTCCTGCCTGTTCCTGCAGCTCTCAGCACCCTGCTCTCAGGGTGTGTCTGAAACCACTTCTGTCCTGTGCCTCCAGCAGCTCCGTGTGCCTGGGCTGAGCAAAGAGCAGCTCCCTCCCCACTGCCCTGTCCAGGGAGCTGCTGCTCCTCTCTGCTGCTCCTCTGTGCCCTGGAGCTGCCTTCAGCAGGGCCAGGAGGGTGGGGACACCTGCACCACTTGAGCAGCAGATGAAACCCAGGTGGCTGAGCTGGGTGCCAGCCCTGGCTGTTCACCAGCCACCAGTGGGGTTTGTGCTGCCCTTGCTGGAGGCAGTGTTGGATGTGACCCCCAGCCCATGCCTGGGTAAATGTGCTATCACATTTACCTGTTCAGTGTGATAAATGTGCTATCACATTTACCTCTTCCATGTGATAAATGTGCTATCACATTTACCTGTTCCGTGTGATAAATGTGCTATCACATTTACCTGTTCTGTGTGATAAATGTGCTATCACATTTACCTGTTCAGTGTGATAAATGTGCTATCACATTTACCTGATCCATGTGATAAATGTGCTATCACATTTACCTGTTCCATGTGATAAATGTGTTATCACATTTACCTGTTCAGTGTGATAAATGTGCTATCACATTTACCTGTTCCATGTGATAAATGTGTTATCACATTTACCTGTTCCATGTGATAAATGTGCTATCACATTTACCTGTTCCATGTGATAAATGCATTATGGCCTGGGCTGGCAGTGTCACCCCCAGGAGAGGAGGGGGCAGGAGGGGCCTCAGCTGTCCCAGCCCTGCTCCTCAGCCTGGCTCAGTGCTGGCAGTGCCCCGAGGATGTTCTCTGGTGCCTGCAGGGAACGTTCACTCAGCTGGAGAGGCCTGAGGGATCACAGGCTCTGTGCATGTGGCCCTTTCAGAGAGGCTTTTGTCTTTTCCTCTTGTGTGGCTGGGAAGGAAAGGGAAGAAGAAAATTCAAGTTACCCATGGGATATAGAAATAGGTAGAAACAAATAAAGCTTTTTGCACCTCTGCTCATGCTGCAGCCACCAGCTTCCCTTTGCAGCTGACCTCCAGGCCTGGGGTGGGAAACATGCATTCCCAGATAATCCCTTCCTGTGTTAAACAAAGGCAGAAAAATCCTTGTAGCTCCAGCAAAACATCTGACTGCAAAAGGCACTAAGCCAGCTCATCCTGCCTGTGTGAGGAGTCGGCTGTGGGATCCCACCTGCTCCCACCCCTGGAGCCACCAGAGCCAGTGAAGGGGCTTGGCCTCTGTGCAGGGAACTCCAGGAAGGAATTTATTCATTCCTCAGCCTGGGCTTGCTGCCTGGAGCTCAGCACAGGGTTCCTGCTCCCAGTGGTGTGTCCATGTGCTCCCAGTGGTGTGTCCATGTGCTCCCAGTGGTGTGTCCATGTGCCCCCATGTCCTCGCCCCCGGGCTCTGTCCCAGCTCTGGGGGATGCTCCCTGTGCAGGAGGTGTGAGCTGGGATGTGGTGTCAGCCCCGCTCGGGATCTGCCCAGAGCCACCCCACAAACAGCTCCTGCTGCTGCTGCTGCCTTGCTGACCTGTGCCTGGCAGTTCCTGCTCCCAGCTCTGCTGGCAGGGCTGCTCTGCACCCTCAGCAGCACCACTGGGGTTGGCTGAAGGAATGGAAAATGCTGGTTATAAACAGCCAGCCTGGCAGGATCTGGGAGCGTGCCCTTAATCCCAGCCCCATTCGTAATCCCACTGGAGGTGGAATGCCAGGCTCGCTCTGCTCTCTTGGTCTAAATGCAAACATTCAGCCTCTCACAAGCTGGTTTGAGTCACACTCAGATATTATTCATAAGATATGTTACTGTGTGAATGAGAAAACCCTTCCAGGGCCCTTCCAGCTGGCACCTGCTGGCAGAGCCCTCCTCCAGGGATGTGCTGGGCTGTGCCCTCCTTCCCAGGGAACCAGGCCCCACTGCCAGGTGGGCTCAGGTAAAGCTCAGCTCAGGTCAAGCTGAGTTGCTCTGTGCTCTGGGTTTTGCTGTGCCAGTCCCTGGAGCTGGGGACAGCCCTTCCCGAGGATCCCAGTGTCCTCCTGGGGGCTATTGAGTGGTGATACCATTTTCCACATCATCTGTAAAGACTTTGTGATCCTGTATTTTGTCCCACTGACTACAGCCTACCCCTGGCTTTCTGCATCTTCCATGGAAGTGTTTTCTAATTCTCATTCTGGAAACACAAGCCAAAGTCAACTGGAAACTGTTACTGGCAAGTCAGCCTGGTAATGATCTCCTCTGTGGGAGCTGAGGGTGTAATGGGGGGTTGAAGGGCCCTGACCCTGACTGGGATCATTGTTATTCCCAGGTGATCCTGCTGTGTCATGGGCACAGTTCATGGTAAGATAACCTCTGCTGGGGCAGTGCATGATCTATCAATGAGCACCAGGAACCAGCAGTAGCTTTGGTTCAGAAATAACTTCAGCCCAATTTACTGCCAGTCAGTGTGAGAAATGTAAAGAGTGAAAGGAATAAACATTGTGGACATTAAATGTAAAGAATCCATCTGAAGAGAAACTACATTGCTTTTTTCCATAAATGTTTAGTAAATATTAAAGAACTAATGCAACCTAATATTTTTTTCACAGTATTGTATTGCTTTTAGAGTATCCATAAAAGTTACACAGATAAGAACAGATAAGACCCATCACAGGGTGTTGCCCTGTGTTCTGAGAATGGGGATCATTAACTCAGTTCTTTGGGCATTCCAAACTTCCTTATCTCAGCATCCCAGTGGCCTGATGATAATCACAGCACGAGTGCCCTGTAAACCTTTAGCAGGAGGAGCCTCTCCACCTGCCCTGCTGAGCTGAGAGACCCTCAAGCACCCGATGGAGCCACGTGCTGGTCCCATGTCCCCAGTGCTGGTCCCGTGTCCCCAGTGCTGGTCCCATGTCCCCAGTGCTGGTCCTGTGTCCCCAGTGCTGGTCCCATGTCCCCAGTGCTGGTCCCGTGTCCCCAGTGCAGTCCCCTGTCCCCTGTGCTGGTCCCCTGTCCCCAGTGCTGGTCCCATGTCCCCAGTGCTGGTCCCATGTCCCCAGTGCAGGTCCCCTGTCCCCTGTGCTGGTCCCATGTCCCAGGTGCTGGTCCCATGTCCCCAGTGCTGGTCCCCTGTCCCCAGTGCAGGTCCCATGTCCCAGGTGCTGGTCCCGTGTCCCCAGGGGCTGGTCCCGTGTCCCCAGTGTAGGTCCCATGTCCCCAGTGCAGGTCCCCTGTCCCCAGGGGCTGGTCCCGTGTCCCAGGTGCTGGTCCCATGTCCCCAGTGCTGGTCCCGTGTCCCCAGGGGCTGGTTCCATGTCCCCAGTGCTGGTCCCGTGTCCCCAGGGGCTGGTCCCGTGTCCCCAGTGCAGGTCCCGTGTCCCAGGTGCAGGTCCCGTGTCCCCAGTGCAGGTCCCATGTCCCCAGTGCAGGTCCCCTGTCCCCAGTGCAGGTCCCATGTCCTGGGTGCCCCTGCTGTGCTCTTTCCCCTCTCTACGGCCTCACCCTCGGGCACAGCCCCTGCCCTGCTCCCCACTCTCCTGCCAGGGCTGCAGGGATGTGCTGGGTTGTGCTTGGGGAATGTTTCTCACTGGGTGACTGAGCTGCTGCTGAGGCTGTGGGCTGCTCACTGCCACCATCCCCTGGTTCAGGACCAGCTCAGATGCACACTGGGTGGATTCAAAAACCTTGAGTGAAAAGTGGGGGGTTATGAGATAATTGGCTTCTGATTTGTATTTTTAGTGCTAATTCCCATTGCAGTAATACAGACCCACCTACAAGGTGCTGTAAAGGTGGAGCTGGTGCAGAGCTGGGAATTCAAGGACAGGGATCTTTGCCCTTACCTTTGAATGCCCTAAAACCCTCAGAGATAAACGCAGCCAGCTGAGGCCCCTGAGCAGGGATCCTGTGCTCAGACCTGACTTTGCAGGGGGTTCAGGTGGGGGTGGCTGAAGGAACCCAGTGGGTTTGGTGCTCCCATCCCGGGGAACCAGGCTGGAGTCCTACCCAAACGTGCTCAATGGGCTGCAGCTTTTCTGCTGTGTATTTCCTGTTGTTCTTTAATAACACTATTCCTGGAACTGGGTGACTTCAGCTGTGATGCCAAGCAACAACACAACCTTAGCTCTCAAGGGCTGGGAGCCAGCGCCCTTTTGGGATTTTTTTCCCTTTGGAGTTCAGGCACCAGTTTTCATTTCCAGCTCCCTTTGCTTCTGCAGAGTGAGGGGGCATCAGCAGCTTTCTGAACAGAAAATTCGGTGCCTGAGTAGCAAGGAGGAAAGGAAAGAGTGACAATGGGTCTGGTGAATGTGGAGAAGGAGAGGTTATGTCCAGTAATGCCTCTAAACTCTGAGATGATTGAGCAAGTTTCTTTCAGCTTTCACAGAAAAAGAAGCAATGTTACCAAAATAATGGGGGAAGCCCCAGACCACTTCAGTGGAATTGATCAGTTGACAAACCTTGTGAAAATAAACCACTCTGCTGATTCTGTCTCTGCTCTCTGTGGGGTTCAGAGGAGCTGGCAGCATCCTGCTCCTTCCCAACCCCAGCCCGAGTGCAGGGCAGGCTCCAGCCATCCCTGCTGGCCCAGACCTGTCTGGGCACCCAGAGCCCTCCTTGCTCTCCCATCCCAGCAGAAGCTGAAGGCACAGCAGGGCCATAAGGAGCTGGAAATGCTGGGCACAAGAGAGCCCTGGCGTTGGAGAACCCAACCTGGTTTGGGGCCAAAATGGTCTTGAGGCTAATGGAGAGTTTTAAAAACAAAGACTGTGCTCTCCCAGGCCTCAGTGGGCCTTGGAGC